TTTTGAATACTAGTCAACAAACGCAATGACATGGCCTTTGACCCGTGACCCGTATAAAGAGGGTTAATAAAGACAAGACAGTTTGCTTAAATTTCATCTTGCAAAGTTTTAATATGCTCCGTCATTTCATTGATTTATTCATACTCTATTAGAACAAAGGCAGTTTATCATTTGCTTATAACAGTGCATACCAATCACATTTTTTAAATTTTAATTAAAATCTCAAAAACGTTATTATAGCATAAATAACACTATAGATTTTAACATTTATGATTACTATGTTTTCATTTTTAATACAGGGAATGAACATGATTACTGCTGTAAAATGGAATATTCTTTAACAAGTACACTTCTCAAAGGTAAAATATTTATTAAAGCAATATATCAAGTCATGTGGTAGGGTGTTATGCAGCCAAAACAGTCTGAAGTACACACCAGCAGGAGTGATACTTAGCAATATTCTACTTTCCATAGTTCAGACTGTGGTAATACAATCTATCACATGTTTTCAGTGGATGTGCTTTATTTTACCCTTACTTCACTTACCAAATTTTACCTCCATTAAGAAATACACAAGATATAAGCTCTGTAATTTTGATTTAATTTTCTCCTTTTTTTCTTTGCACCGAAAGTACAGAAACTTTATCTGATAGAAAAACATACTTAACTTTATGGATTTTTTTTCCAAATTTAAAACACTGATAGAGCTTTATAACCTAAAATAGTGTGTCAAATTTGGTATAAATATAAGCCACATATGCAAAGTTATTTAACAACAACTGCTCAATTTTGACCAAACATTTTGTGCACACCTACAAAATATGTCTAACATTTTTCTAAAGCCTCACCTAAGAGTATAGTTAGACCGTTTTTAGTTTTATTGTCATTTGGATTAAAGATGGCTGATTTAGAGCAGCAAAACTATAGGTTGAAAGCACATTCAGATACAGATGTATTGATTAGACCAAGCAAACTAGATTAGCAGTTTATAGCTAAGTTTTCAAAATAATCATACAAGTGGACAGTTATTATTAATTATTCATTGCTAACTTTTAAGCACAAATTTGCTAAATTTTATGAAATTCTACTAATTAAAGAATATTTATCGTCACATGATATTAGCTTAAGCAATTAGCATAAATAATGATGCTTGATATGGCTGTACCGATTGCATGGCGAGATGACACAAAACTGTTAATCTAGTTTCCATTGCATTACTATAAAGGAAGTTATTAAACACTGTTTTAGAGAGGAAAAACTACCACCATACATTTTAAAGAATCTGGTTGGTTCTGTAAAGTATACATCTGTTCCGAATAATAGGGTTGTGATTCTAAAGCTAAAGCTGGTTACTATCAAATATCACTTTTTCACTTGTTGTGGTTTGTTGGTGTGTATTTACAAAACATCATGATATTTAATCAAAAACACCTCAGGTGTGACAAAAAGGTGTAGCTAAAAAAGGACTGAGCATGTGACTTCAGGAAGAAATTGAAATTGGTGGCCAACCTGGTAGCTACACTTATAGCACTGATAAGAATTTTACAGTAAATATTCATTCATTAATTAGTCAGGCTTCATTTTTTGTTCAACTTGGGGCAAGATGGTGGGTAAAATAAAATATGCAGCCTACCTGCCAATTTTGATTTCATTCCTTTAAATTGCACACTCAATCCTTTTCTGGCCACACCTTTTTTTCACACCAAAGGTGATTTTCATTAGATTCTGATATGTGTACACAAAACTTTCATTTGCTACCTATGCACTGAAGTAAACTCATATTTCCAATAAATATAAAACAATTGCATATGTTAATGAAATCATACATTGATCCAGAGCACATTGCATTATTTTCACACATGCTTTGAAACTGTGCATATCAAGTTCATCTATATCAAAAGTATTAAAATATTTGAATCAACATGACTATATATTATTGATCGATCATATTACTAAAAATATTTTTAGGTTCATGCAGTTTTTGTTAGTGCAAAAGATTGAGAGTTTATATTTACAAATAATTAAATTGTAAGTTCTAATTATACATACAGGACACTTTGTACATGAAATCAGACCTATTGATAAAACATCCACAATGTTTATAGTTGCATTACAATCATAATCCATCATGATGTACAGTTATACTCACACAAGCTACAGTAACTGGCAGAGACACAAATATTACTATATGCAAACATGTTCATTACTGATAGTGATTGTGCATTATAGCATTACAACACTCAAGTATCAAGTTTTTAATTTTGTTCTTACATAATGTTGATTTACATTAAACAAACCCTGCTACTAAGCAAAACATTTACTAAAAATACTCAGATTATTTCAATTCTGGTATGGTTCTTGGATGCAGACACAATGTAAAACACTAACACTTTGTCTGCACTTACCATGCTAGCACAACATAATCTCCATAATAATTACTATCTCAATCTCAAGAACACTTAATGATCCGAAAGTTCGTAGTTTAAAAAAAAAAACACCAAACCATTAATCCAATCTTTAAATTCAGTATTTATTGTTTTCTGTTCCTAGAATCTTGTTTGTTGTTTGACAAACAGAAAATTTTCCAAATTTATAACCAGATGTCTGATGTATTGAATTATAAATTATTAGTTAAACATGATGCATGCAGTTATTCACAGGAACAAGTTCAACTGTTGCTACAAAGGTTCATGAATAACAAATAGTGCTATATCATCATAAATCTGGTTTGTCTGCAAAATGAAATTCACAATGTTTCTGGCCAGGAACTCAAAATATAAAATTCACTGACTTTTCCTTGCTTCCTTGACTCATGGGAACCATATTGTATGGTAAATAAAAGAATGGAAACCAATGGAGTCCTGGTATAAATAAGTCTAGACATGGCCGAGTGTTGTTAGATTCTGCTTCACATGTAATTTTAATGCAACGGTTTTGTTCAATAAGATATTTAGGGAAGAGATATATACACACACACTCTTGTTGTAAAAGAACATGTCCTCAAAATATCTTCTGTACAATTCTGGTTTGAACTCAGTGGGTCAGGTTTTTTAACCAGATACGTCTAGAGTGGCAGAGGAATGCAATAGAAGTAAGTCCAAATAAGGAGCCCATTGCCATGCCATCCATCTGTTCATAGAGGGTGTTACAGAAAAGGGCATGCAAATGTTTGACAGCAGGTTCTAGTATGGTGTTTAGCTCCATCTTGTATATATATATTAACATACATGTGAAAAATGGGACTTAAAAACCTAGAAAGTAAACATTGACATCCAATTTCTAACCGAATGTAAAGACCACAACATTATCCCAAAGTTCTTCCATTTCAAGCATGCCAACTGTAATTTTCAACATTCCACAACTGTCAACAGCACTTACTGGGTGAAGAACCTCATGAGAAATTTTGAAGGAAATGACAACTGTCCAACAAACATAAGAGAAACCTAGAAGACTTCTGCAAGAACATCTCATGGTTTGATTTTACACACCTCAGTTCCATGTATGAAGTATTCTGTATGTATAATTAGAATTTATAAAACTAAATGGTATTTTTCCAGTATATATATATGCCTTGTCTAGAGGTTTTAATTTTTCCATTATACCCTATAAATTTAAATTTCCTAATTTCCTCTATCCATTTGAACTGTTCAATTTACGATAAAAATAATTCTAATCACTAATATAAAAAATGTAGCTTTTTCTACTTTCTATAACTACAACATATACAGTTTCTACCTGAAGAACTTTCTGCACTGAAAGAACTCTAAAAAAATAAAAACATCATCACATTTACTTTCACTTTATAGTGCATTCTGTTGACCACTTCCTGTACTGCAAAAGGTCCTTTCCACTGCCAGGTGAGCTTATTGTTGGCTGTGAGTAGCAGAACTAAGACCTTGAAACATTGATCCTTGGCCTTATTGTTATAGAAGTGCTTCTGGCTGTCTTTGATGGGTTTGGATTCCCCAGTAGAACTGCTCTGATAGGTTTGGTTTAACACTCCTTTCCAGTCCTCTGTTTTGTGAGTCTCTTTTTATTTTGTCTTTTGCTTCACTTTGTCTTGGGCACTGCCCCAAAGCTTCTGCAGAGAATCTTTCTTCTGCACTTCCTTCAGCTCCCATTGACCTACATTTGAGATGTCACTTTGAGACTTTAAGAGGAACACCAACACTAGAGACAGTGCAACATGTGACTACAAAAACTCTATTTTGAAAAACAGACTGCCCTTGATGTATGCAATCAAAGGGATAGCAGGGATGGGCAGCTATCCCCTTCTGCTATACTCATGCAAGTCCATTGGTTAATATGGTCCGGAACAGGCATATTAATGAAGCAAATATATCCCAAGGAAAAAACTACTAGCAATTTTGCAGTCCACCTCATCTCAACAGTGTGTGTTATAAGTCATGGTATACATTGTAGCTGTACAATGTGGATTGGAGATATAGGAAGCATACCTGGACAGGCCATGCTCACCACTGAGCAGGATCCAAATCCTAAAAGGGGGATGGCCCTCAAGGGGAAAATATATATAGAAAAGATAACTTACCCAGTCATGGCAGTGCCAAAGTTTGAAGGATGGCAACAGTCAGAATGCATTACCCTGATGAGGAAGAGACAGCTACCAAACAATAAAGATAGTGGTAGATGAACATATGAGGTGGAGGCTACATGCCTGACTGAATAGTTACCTCCAATGGAAGGGGAAGGAAGGAAAACATGGGACTCTAATGATGAGTGACATGTTAAAAACGTAACAGCATTATATGTAAACTGTGGAAACAAAACACACCTGAGAAATCATATCCAAAAAAATAGAGTTAGGCCTAGTAGATTTCATAGGAGATGCATTGGAAGGCACGGCATAGGTAGGAAGAAAGAAAACGAAAAACTATCAAAATTTTTCTCTTCTTGAACAGGTTCGGAAAGTGCAGAAAGAACTCGAATCTTATTGGGAGAAAAAAATTGCCTTATATAACAATCAGTCTTCTGATGAATGATAGTCGAAAAATCCTCATTCAAGATCCCCAGACCTGAAGCTAGCAATGGCATTCGAAGTAGTGGTAATAATATCAGAAGTTATAAAATATAATATATATAATAAATATTCAAGCTTCTTTGTCAATTTTAAAATAGTACAAAAAATATTTGTCATAGTAGCTTTTATCAATATAAGTTAGCCATAAATAAAATCCTTTACAAGTCTTACAGACCTAAAAATGTAAGTTAAAATCATCAGAATAATGTATAATGATTCAATATTGTGTTTTTTGTCATATAATCATTAACCCCCTTATAAACTATTTTAAATTCTATAAAAAATTGTATTGTATTTTAAACCTAAATTTCTTGCTCTTTTTTAACTCACCTCACACTGGAAGCAGACCTTTATTCCATACAACTTGACTTTACTCTTTCGCAGGTTGCAGATTTTGCAAGGAGAAGAACATCCTACAGAGGCTACAGAAAAAATTTTCCTAGTCATAATGTTTGAAAACCTTAACGTTCCTTCTTTGATTTGTTAATAAACAATGGTCAATCAATAATAAATGTTTACTGGCAATATAAAACAAAAAATATCTTAATGCAATGACCTAAGGTAGATATTAACTGCTCGAAGTGAGAGTGGATTTATATGTATGTATACGTATACACACCTAAGTCAGATACTAACATAAGTAAAATATTTTTAGAATAATATATATTGTATTGATTTACCTTTGAATCCATAGTTCAGGAAGTACTTCTTTTTACACATTAAACATTTTGGAATTTTGTTGAAAGATGTTTTACACAATATGTTCAGAGCACATCTGATGTTTGTCCTTCTACGATTATTGGTCCATTTATTCTGAAAGTACACATCATGATCTATATATCTCTTACTAACACAAAAGCATGTTGACAAGTTTATATTGATAAGAAATATAAACAATTATTACATACCTTTTTAATATCTAAAATATTACATGATAAAAAGTTGGTAACTTTCCAAAAAATTGACATTTAATATACACATACAATCAAGAAATTATATGGTCAAAAATAATATCAAATACTTTTATGTATAAAAAATCTAGAAAAAAAAAAGTAGTACACCTTAAGTTTAAAAAAAAGTTCAATTATACCAGCCGAAGAAGTGTGATGAAGATTACAAAATACCCATAGAAAAAAGTAAAAATCAATAGATGCAAGCATAACTTCTCCCTAACAAAAATATATGCTTTTAAAACTTTATTACTGCTTTCATTTTCTACCTTGAGAGTTTGGAAAAAGAACAGGCATCAACTGAAAGTTTGTCCTTTTCCAACAAATTTGTTTTATGTTTCATATTCAAACTTTAAGTCAAGTGTTGCTGACAGTACGAAGTCAAATTCAACAATAAAAATATTTCAGTATTTCAAAAGAAATTTATCTGATTTGAATATAAATTTAAAATTGAAGCGTTCTACTAATATTAAAGTTAATAGATTATCCTTAGGATAAAATAATTCAAGAGCCTCCCAGAATGCACTAATGTTGTATAAAATAATTTTTCAGCTCACCAATAAAACAAAAATAAAAAATTTAAACACTTAATCATTCATTAGCTAGTCTGACTTTAAAATAATTTTTTTTTATTGCTCAACCTTGTTATTTCAAGTTTTCAGATGGACTTCAATTAGCAAATATTTACAATGCTCAGAGACATACAAGATAAACCCAAGTTTTTTGACAAGTAATATCTCATTGAAATACAGAAAAAAAATAAAAAATTTGACATATGTTCTATGAAATTCAATTGAACATCCAGTAGCCAAAAATCAGCACCAGAGTTAGTATTTAAGTAATATCTTTTTAAAATATAGAAAAAAATTATCTTTTGACACCAATATCAGGTCAATGGGATCAACAAACAAAATAATGAACATTACATTTTATCCAGAGGGTGCTGTTGCATATTTGGAACTGCATATAAAATGTGAATAAAAAAGTCATTTTAGCAGGTATAACCACTTTAAGTACAAAACAGCTGCTTGCAGATTATTACAATGTTTGTATATTTTAACTTTTTTACAGTATAATGTTTAAAAAAACGAAAACACAATAAAATCTACTACAGAAAAAAAAAGTAAAAATGCCAGAATTTCTGTATCATTTATCATAATGCTAAATCTTAAGTTTTAGGGTTTCATCAATTTTTCAAAAAAAACATCTTACAGTACTTCATATCAAAATATCCAAATAATATAAATTTAGGACAGGCTGAAATATGGGTGACAAAGATCAAGAAACCTATGTCATCAAAACAATATAGTAGCACGAATGTAAGAGGTAAACCTGGACTATCTAAGAAGTATTTACATATATATGGCTTTAGTCTTGTTACATGTTCTATAACTGATCATAAAAGCCACCCTGAAAAACACTTCATTATTGCACTCGTCTTGTATTTTTCTTATTAATGATTTTTTATTTTTAGAGATAATAATAATAATAATTTTTATATATTCATCATAAACATCCAATAGGAAGATTTGTATTATATTATTTACAATCACAAACATAAAAAACAACTAAATAATAACCACCCATAAAAAAAAACATTCAAGACAAATACAATAATGAAGTGGTCATCCACAGTTGCATTTATGACCCCAAAGGTATCCTCAGATGAAATAAAAGGCATTTCACACCATATATAACATGTAACAAGAATAACCCCAAACTATATATATTATGAAAACATAGCTAAGTTGTCCAAATTGCCTCTTATGTGTACAGAACAATTATAAAAAACGTTTTATAGTTCAATACACAGTATATGCAATATCCTCAAGGATAAGTTTCTTTTTCCAAGTCTTTTAATTCAGTTCAACTGGCTCCCTCTGTTAATGGAGGTATTGGTTATATTTCTGTCTACTATTCTGAGCAGCAGTAAGCATTTTCTTCAACAAAGGAACTTCCAGAATACCTCCAACTGACTGCGCATAATCACAGATCAACTGCTGTCCAATGAGGGAGACATCCTTCATGTTTTGAAGCATTAACCCTTCATTCACAAAAAATGCCTCTTTCAACAGTTGCTTGGCCATGAGAAAGTATCAAAATTAGTTTGATGACACACTATAAGTACTTGTAATTGATAGCTTGGCCCATATGTTTGAACAAAAAGTAGTCAAACCTATCAGTTTTGAGGCCAAATCCTTGAAAATGTACAACTATGGCTTCACAACCTGAGATAAAAACACGTCATCCTGTCTGATTAAGAGTTCACATCTTTCTGTTTTGTGATATTTCAAACTGACAAGAGTGGACAGTACATGTTAAAAATGAGTCTTACTATCCATTGCAGCTGAGGCCATTTTTAGAAGATAAAAACAGGCATTACTATGAGTAAATGAGTATTTCAACAGACACTTCACTAGCAATTTCAAAATTAAACATAAAAACAGTCAAACACTCATTGCAAAATGCAAGCTCATCTCTTGGAGTTGTCTTTTCTGTGACAATCAATACTTTCATATTTTCTGTTGCACACAACCTGACACTGACATGCTTAGCCGATCTGATATTTTCCATCTTACTAAAGTCAATTTTCAACAATTTAAATGCAGTGTCTGCTTTGGATAGCACATCATGTTTTACAACCCTTCTCAGAAGGTTTCTGATCATAGACTCAAGACCACAGCTGACAAAAGGCAGTACAGGGTGATCAGTCTGATATTTCATCAGAAATGGAGAGAGTTCTTCAGATATTAAAAAATAAAATTATGACTTTTTTGTAGAAAGGATATCATTTGTTGCAAATTTTACAGTATTAAATGCTTTACTTTTTGGTACTGTGTAAGAATTTGATATGGCATCAACTGTTTTATTGTGTGTTTGGAAATTTGGAATAATTTAAATTTCCCTTTGTACAAAAGGTGCATTCTCTACCCATTGTGTAGAACAAAATTTCAGTGCATACTTAAGAGACACAGTTATTTTCTCAAAGTCTTCCCATCTGGCTGGAGTATCTCTGAAAAGGTGGTACATGGTTTTAAGTATTGCTTCTAAATCCCAATCAGCAGCATTGAAAGCAGTATGAAGAGCACCATGGACTGTGTGGTGACCACAAAACCCAATGTTGATTAAAGACGGGTCTGAATTTGTAGTTTTTAACTCTGATTCTAATTTCTCATAGAATGATCAGTTAACATTTGGACCATCCATCCCTGTTTGCAAAAGATGACTAAGATTATGCTCTTTTTTTCAACTGTAATAAAAAGTTTAAAAGATCATTAGTCACTATGGATTTCATGCAGGATGGTGCCTCTCCACATACTGGTAACCAGGTGAAACACATATGCATGTGCACTTTGAGGACAGAATCATTTCATGTAACTTTCCTTGTGAATGGCCACATTGTTCACAAGATAAAACACCAGTTGATTTTTGGTTGTGAGGGTATCTGAAGTCAAACATGCACCATGAGAACTCTCAAATAATTATGACCTCAAGAATGCAACTGTTTGGGAAGTGAACAACATACCAGATGAGATGCATATTTCTGCTGTAATATCCACTGTCACACAGATGCAATGCATTCTTGATGATGGAAGAACACATTTCAACAGTTGCTGTCATAGATCAGTTATCATGTTATAGTTCCAACCCTGGAGGTAACATGTGACAACTGTTGTATTTGCATAACTATGGTTCTCTTAGTACCTCTATGCAATTTCACTTTTGTATGGCATACCATTTGTGAGAGTGTGAAACTTTCTTTATAATCACCCTGTATATTATATTCACAGTACTATACTGTATTGTCTAAATATGCTCACATGGATTTCTTGACATTTGATACCCATATTTCAACATCTCTTCAGCTTGTACTGCTTAGATATTTTGATATGTTATAATGTATGATGATGTATTTTTGTTAAAAACTAGGTTGAGCACTTAAAACTTTGGATTTGGCTTTGTAGTAAATTATGACGAAATTTTGTCATTTTTTAAAATTTTCTTCAAAAATAATACTTAAAAAAAAATTGAAATATTCAAATAGGATTATAATCTACACAAAATTCTCTTATAGTTAGAGTGGTCAAATATGTTAAGATACTTTTTTGTTTGCATGATCAAACATTTTTTTTGCACACAATAGCACCCTCTCCAGACAATATGTATGCCTGCCATTTTGTTTCTGTTGACCCCATTGGTCCAAAATTGGTGTAACAAAAATTCCATTTCTTCTATGTATTTCAATGGAATACTATTTGAATGCTAACTATGATACCAACTTCTGGTCACTGCTCTTGTCAATCCTCCTTAATAACTTCCCAAATAATAGAGATGTTATTTTGAAACTTTGTCATATTTGTGTGTATATTTATCAAATGAAATGCAGGAATTAAATCATTTATAACTATATTTTTGAAGGAAATTCATCTATTAACCAAATGTGCATAGGGTCAAGTCTAATGGACTGCTTTTAGTAAAATGTACAAGTCTGTTGTATAGAAAAAATCAAATGTGTTACAAAAGTATCTGTGCTCTAAAGCCTCTAATTTAAATACTTAAAAAGAGATTATTTTTTCGGTTTATGGTATTTTACTCTCCTGTACCATGAACTATTGTAAAATCAGCAATGTAGGATAAAAAGAAGAGCTGATAACTCTGATACCAAATACATATTACATATTACAACCACACTCTTTAAAAGGTCATAGTATGAGCACTTTGACAACCACCTGTGTACATAGGGTGAAACAAGCATTCACTAATCTTTATAATTATTTAAAAATAAACTTATTTCTGTAAAATTATTATGCAAGTTTATAATTGTTTCCAAGCTGTTTCAGTTTGTACCTGATAATGCCTTTC